GAGTGCACTTGAATTTTGGTACATTACTAGTGGCCTTGCTCATGGATTGTCCAACTTATTTTTAAATGGAAAGCAACTAAGTCAACCTTCTTCCATCTCAATTAAAGAGCAATGAATCGAGAGCAAATGGCTGGTTTTACATGGGTACACAATAGATTGAGCATTGGAAACATGCAACCCAGGATGTATCGCGAAATGCATTACATTGGTGGTTCAAAGGATCCATTTTTGGCTCAGTTTTGTACTGAATTTGGTAATGATGGATGTAGCATAAGTCTCTCACTCAGACACAATTAGGAAAGAATTGTGGAACTATAGTATTGCATACTAGCCATTGGGCAAATTTTTTTAATCAACTTCATATTCGATTTTTTACATGTGCTTTTTTGATATTAGCTCCTTCGGTAACTTTCAAAGGAAAATGGCAATATCCTCTCAAGGCTCAGTTATATATCAAGCTCAAAAGCAACCACAGGTAGCACTCTATACTGAACATAAATGTGTTTCATATTTTCAAGGCTATCAGTAAGGCCTCGCCTACTTCACTACTTATATTTCAAATTTCGACCCGCACATAAATGTATGACTCAGACTTGGGGGACTATTGTTACACTTATGAATTACGTGGTATGCACGTGGCAGAGGTGGTCCCATATATGTTGACGTGACATTGACTATTCAATGGTATTTGATTTATTAAATTGAGCAACCTCGACAACCCCATCTTGGGCTTGAACTGGGCACATCTAACTATACCTACTCAGGCCATTTCTATTTCTCTCTATACATGAGTTTACTTAACACTTGATGTATGTATTCTAACCCTAACCAAATCCTCTTTCCCATCTCTTGCACTCTCAAATTATTTCTCATTGTGTTTATATCTAACCCTAACGCATTGGTGAACGTTTTAGTTAAAAATGCACAAAAGCTCTTCATAATGTAATGAACACAATGATAGATATTGATTTATAGAGTGATTGTACATGTAAAAATGATTAAACACAAATATGATCATCGGCCATTACCTAAAGCTTCAGCCATAAAATGGAAAACCTATGTTCCTAAAGTACTAAAATCAACTTCAAATCAAGCCTGCCAATAGTTATTGGTATACAGGTTTGAATCCCTCCACAATCATACGCAATTGATTAGGTCAAAGTTAAACAGTGCTTAAAACCGATTGAGTATGAGTTCAATCTTATATGATCTTTGCATATATTTCACTTTTCTCACAAGCCATAATTAATTCGATTAGCATCTTTTTCTTTACCACGCCATCAAATTCTGAATTAATTGTTCCAATGGCCATTGAACTTAGACCTATGTCTTTGATTGGTCACTAAAGTTTAAAATATCGAGTTTTGATCACTGAACTTAGGTTCATGTCTTCGATTGCTCACCAAAATTTAAAATGTCAAGTTTTGACAACTGCACTTTGAAAAATGTCATACGTTACTCACTAGTATAACTGCTGAATTTTAAAAAATATCGAGTTTACAGTAAGTAGTATACCACATTTTGCAAAGTTTAGTGGTCAAAACTCGACATTTTAAATTTCGGTGAGCAATAGAAGACATGGATATAAGTTCAATGATTAAAACTTGACATTTTAAATTTCAATGACCAATCAAATATATGGACCTAAGTTCAGTGACCATTGGAACAATTAACTCTCAAATTCTGTTTGTCCATTTATCAAGAAATACGAGTATTGAAATCAGATGTAAATGGCTGCAGCAACAATCTTTCACCGGGTTTTCTTTTTTATCAATTATGGGTTTGATTTGAGGATGAGGTAAAATAAATAGCAGTGCAAAAAAAAATAATAAATAAATAAATTGGTTTGCACTGAGTGAGCAATTTTATTCGTGAATTTTGTTTCTTTTGGAGATGTCTACAATTTTGTCTGGATTATCTTTCAGTGGAAACGTTTCAATTAGAATCTGGGGATAGATAGAAGCTATTTTTCTATATATTGTTATTTATTGCTCTGGAATGATAAATCAATCCTCAAATAATGTAGAAATTCAATTGGGAAAACTTTATTTTCTTTTGAGTTATGTCAAGGATAACTTCGTTTTGAATTTTTTTATGTAGATTGATGATGTTCTTCCTACTCTAGAAGAGCATGGTGTTTGCCAATTGTACCCAAAAGGGCCAAATGTTGGTACGATTCACATACCGTTTCACTTTTGACTATATGTTTGAAGTTGATGGATATTAAATCAGCCACAATACCAATTTATTGCCATCAGAAGGCACAGGGACGGGTAGGCTAGTGCTACAGTCCGTCCGTCCGCTCCAAATCCCCTTTTTTAAATTTTTTTTTTTGTTATTTTTTTTTTTTTTTTTTTTTTTTTTTTTTTTTTTTTTTTTTTTTGCTGTATTAGTCCGTGTTCATACCGGAAGTTGGATCTGACAGTGAGAAGTCATTTCAGTAACAAATTTTCAAGCAATGTAATGGCTTTTTGCTGTTGCTGCAATGTGATTATCATTTGTACCAGTGGATGCTTAATAAATTTGATTGGCTTACACATTTTTTATCCATTGATGCTTTGAGTTTGTAAGTAATTTACTTGTCTTCATTTAAAGGCAAGCCCTCAAGATGCAATTGGCTTCTATATAGTTGTGGTTTTTACTATTTCTGTATATAATCAGAAATAATCTCGTCAACTTCAATTGATTGCAGAAAAGCCCAAGCAAGAGGGTAGACTTATCGGAAAAAATCATATAGACCCTACAAAAATAAAACATTCCACAATATATTATTGTATTTTTTACATCTATGATATACAGTAAAATTGACAAAAAAGTACCATTTTTACTACCTTAAAACTGGCTTATCTTTCGTAACCAAAATTTAATTTCTCACAGATCACTATTCATTAAGCCCCCGTTTGGCCCCATTAAATTAAATTTCATTTTTTTCTTTTCTATTTTCAATCATACAATCTTTCATAAAATAATATTACACGTAAATCGAAATCTTTTTCTTCTTTTTCAACCACTCATTCTCTAAAAATATATTATTCCACCCATTTTAATTTGAAAAAATAGGGGCAAAACGGGGTGTAATTGTGACTTCCATACATATGCAGATTTCAAATTCAAGCACTCTTTTCAACACACGAGAATTTAGATTTCTATGATTTTTGGTGAAAAATCAAAATCAAAGTTCAACAGGTATGTATTATTCTAATCGTGTGATCTATCTTTTGACTTTTTTGTTTCATTAATTAGTACTAATTCATTATTTATATTAGTTTTGTGTGCACATTAAAATAGAATTCAAGAACTGGATAAAATACGTTTTTTCCCCATAGTTATGAGTATATTTTGTGCGTTTTCCATTCCTGTACATGCGTTGGATACTATTATTCCTTTATCCATATTGTTTTGTACAAAACGTTACTCACGTCATTCGAAAATATTTGGGCATAATCCTTTTATTGTTGCATTATCTTTTACTAGTGGATGGAATGATATGTATAACGGCTAAATATATCATTGAATAAAAATGTTAAAAGATAAATTACAATAGTGATGTCCTTTATGTTTTGATAATTTTATTTTTTTTTTCAATACGGCAGAAATTATTATATCGATACATATCACATAGAGAAATATTACACTTGTCATTATAGTTGCTAAAAATTGAATTGCATTTTCATAGGTCTCATCTTCGAACGATTTCGTGTATCAAGTGTCGGACTAAAACAACGTAGCATATTATTGATTTGCTGGAAATAAAATGCACATGCAATAGGTTCCATTTTGATGGAGTTACATGTCCACATGATTAGCTCTAATTGGGAGAAAGGAGATCAACCATATAAATATTGTTCCATACACCATACTAAAGAGTCCTATATTAATATTTATGCTGGGTGCATAGTTCCACTCGGAGACCGTTCGTAGTGGAAAGTCGATAACAATTAATATGAAGTTGATATTTGTCCACCTAAATCTTGAAGGTTGCCATAAGGCCGAGGAAGACAAGGAGATGAATAAGTTTGGAATCATTGAAACCAACAATGTGTGGTAGGTGCGGGAAAAAGGGATGCAATAGGAAAACTTGTAAGCAACATCTCCCGTTGAGTCACGTACGAAAGCCTAATAGAACGACATAATTAGCCTCTATTTGACCCCTTTTTTGAAATGAAAACAGATAAAATAGTATTTTATTTTTATTTTTTTGAAAAATAAGTGGTTAAAAAAGAAAAAAAAATTTCAATTTACGTGTAACATTATTTTATGGAAGATTATATGATTGAAAATAGAATAGAGAAAAATGAAATGTAATTTAATGGGAATCAAACGGGGTCTTATTGACTACAAACAATGTTTAGTTTTTATGTCATCATTCCAACATATCGAATAGTAATATGCGGTTTAGCATGTCGTGGTGAATGTTACATTTTTTATTAAGATATTTTTATCAATTCTGTGTCATGGTTTGTATGATTTTTGTGATGCATGCGTGAGACCGCAAGTTAATTTATTAGGATTTGAGGAGATAAGCGATTTCTTGTTTTTAAAATATACTTTTATATTGCAGTATGCATGGAAATAAAAAAGAAAAAAAATGTGTGGTGTAGTTTTTGATTATTTAATTTTAAACAGGTGGTAAAGGCCCAATCTGACATTGTCTAGACATTTACATATTTATGGGCTCGAAAGAGATGATGATCCATAATATATAAGCCCATAGTTGAATGGACCCAATCAGAAGCTTCTGGAGAACCCCAGAAATTCATGATATAAAATACGGACGAGATTCGTGAGAGGAAGAACACGAAACCATCTGCGTGTCTAAGAAATTTTCGTAAAATTCCCGTTCTAAGGTAATAATATTGTATACCGAATATTTTATTTTACAAGGATTTTTGTTGTTCATATTGAAAAATTATTTTTTCAATCTCCTTGTATGATTTGATTTGATGAATTCTGTTTTATGCGATTATAATATAGGTAGATCAATAATATTGTGATAATCGAATCATGACTTTTTGATTTTGCTTATAATACAGAAATTCTACGGTATAAGGTTTCAGGTCATGTGAATTTATTTCTTTCATCTAACTGCTTAAAATCAACTTTTTACTGTCTTACGGTACTTTTTGAGTTTATGAAATTTCGATCTGTATGTTTGCTAGGTTGCCAAAAGACTGGAATAATAGGAGATGATATATTTTAAAAGCTTATTTTTATGTCTGTTCTTAAAATGTAATTAAAATAAATTATTATCACATGGTTTTAGATAATTTAGTCGCTCTGTAAATTGATGACGGTATCTCTAGATAATTTTTAATTTACGTATGTTTTAATACCGTTTTTATATTTGTCCGTAGGTTTGTGATCATATTATTATATTCCACCCTAAATTTCTGTTTCTTGTATGGAGCATACGTTGCAAGAATTTGATGAATCTGTTTGATTTAGGAAGTAGATAGAAAATGGGTAGAGGTTATAGTTATAGCCCCAGCCCTCCAAGGGGTTACAGCAGGAGGCGTCGAAGCCCAAGCCCAAGAGGCCACTACAGGAGTCGTGCAAGAGACCTTCCTACTAGCCTCTTGGTCCGCAACCTTCGGCATGATTGCAGGTCTATTTTAATGTTTCATTAAATCCAAATTGAATTGCTATTGTTTCTTGTAGTTGTTCAACTTGCTACAAGCTGCTTTCTTGTTATTGAAATTAGCTTAGAATCACTGAATATCTCCTCCCTAATATTTTTGATTTGACTGACATGCTCTGGAAATATATCTTCTGTATCAAAAATATTATCTTTTCCGCAGAAAGCATTATTTCCTGTTTCTGCATTTGGTTATTGTTATTTTAGGGGTGTTGATCATGTATGTGTTTGAAGCTAATCTGTTTACGAGTATGTTATGTGCCGGACTGTTTGGATGTACAAATTTGTTTGATTAGTCATATGTCTATTTTGATTGTATTTATATCCAATCTCATGTTCATATCTGAGTGTGGTTTTATATGTATCGTTTTCTGTTACAAACATGTACCCATGAGTTCACGTGCTCGTGAAAACCTCCATCCCAAACAGAATCTCACATAGGAACGATTACATTTAGGAATATGTTATTTACCATGATATTTGTGAGATTACTATGATAAAGATACTTGTGTGCGGGAAACATGGGCATCTCTAGGGAAAATGTTAAAATGCATGAATGTATTATATGTCAAGCTGATATCATTTGATTTTCTTTGCTTTCCGCCAGTTGCACTTGATGGATTTGCCAATGGGAATAGTGTGGGAAGAATTCTGTGGACCATGTGATGTTAGAAGCTTTATATTTCTCCCCTCTGATGCCTGAGTTTTAAGTACATAAATTTGAAACTCATGTTTTTGAGAACAATATTTCAAATTAAGTGTTGTTGCTTTGTCTTCTCTTGATGTAGTCAAATTTTCTTTTGTTTGCCATCATAATTTTGTCATCATAATTATTCCAGATTGTACACAGCATCATTGTGAGACTTTCTTTCTGTCAATGTTTTGTCGTACCCTGGTCTATTTTGAGTTTGTGGGAATGTAAGCCGTTTGCCTATATTAATTTATTGGGTAACCTTATTCTTGAGGTTTACCATTTACCATTACCTTTTGGGTATTTACTATTACTTTTTAGGTATTTACAATTACCCTGGTCTATTTTGAGTTGGGAATTTTTGAGACTTGTGAAGGGCCTTAATGATATTAGTAGATATTGACTGTAATGTGGGCATTACTGATTTGACTATGGAAATATTGTAGAACATCTGCATGTAGTCCCAACCATCAGACAACAAATTCAAGTGTATTGCTGGGGCTTTTCTGTTTCTGCAATTCCCTTTCTTTTTGTCTTGAAACTGCTTCTACGCATCTAAACTATATATAATTTGTAATACTTGCAGGTCTGAGGATCTTCATGCTCGATTTGGGGAGTTTGGGCCTCTTAAGGACGTTTATCTCCCACGTGACTATTACACTGGGTGAGTAATCTGTTATTTAAGCCTCTTGTGCAATGCCATTGTTAATTGCAATTGGATTTGAATTTAAACTGGTTAAGGCAACTGTAATGAGGTTATTCTCTTTACTATGCTACCTGGTCTGCACCTCTTCTTTTCATCTTCTTTAATTGTTTTCTGGAAATTCGGTTTCATTGTAAATTTTGAAGATACCAATGAAGTAATAAGAGGTCAAGATGATATTTAATGAACATGAAGATTGAAGCAAGTTGGGTATTAGTACAATTATGAAGATGTTGAGGTCTTGAAGAATATCAAGTCTTAATCATGGTTTCACAAGGTTAGCGGCCATGTAATTGCTTTACTGAGTTCTCATGGGTATGAGCTAAGTTCCTTTTTTATTCAAGTTACTGTAGCTTCACATAAGCATGGGAGATGCTATCTACACATTAAATAGTTGTTACTGATGTCTTTAGGATGTGATCTACTTTTTTCACACGTGTCATGTTAAATCATGCAGGGAGCCACGGGGCTTTGGTTTTGTGCAGTATGTAGACCCTGCTGATGCTGAAGAAGCCAAATATCAGATGGATGGGCAGATTCTTCTGGGGCGAGAGTTGACTGTTTTATTTGCAGAGGAAAACAGGAAGAAGCCCTCTGAGATGAGGGCCAGAGAACGAATAAGGTAAAGTGCTTGAGTTCATTTGTTTAATTTCATACTTTAACAGACTTTCAGTGCAGTGCAGAGCAGAAATGACCTTTCTATCATTTTGCCACCTTAAAAAAATTACTTGCAATGCAAGAGCGCCTAAAGTACCATATCTAACTGAATATATTGCTTCTTTCAGTCGGAGAAGGTCCCCACTCGGTTATTCTCGATCACCTCGCTATGCACGGACATATTCCCGCTCACCAATTTATGCTCGAACTTACTCCCGAGGGCCTGATTACTATTCTCCATCTCCAAGAGGAAGACGCTACTCAAGGTGTAAAATTATTGCTTTTGGTTATTTAGTATTTGCATTGGCTTAACATCAAAGAAGATTAAACACGTTCCATCCATACAGGTCCATTTCACCTCGAGATGCAAGGTATAGAAAGAGGTCGTACCCTAGGTCTCCTTATGGCTCAAGGAGCCGAAGTCGAAGCCCAATCAGGAGCAGGAGCTGGAGTCTTGATTCTAGCAGGAGCCCTGATGACTACTGAAGATGCATATTA